GGCTCCGCTGGTGGACACAGTGTGGCTGTGCTGGTGTAAATCAATAGTGGTGGAAGCAATGAACGGGGCAACAAAGAGGCACCTGTATTGGCGTTTGGGGGGCAGTTCGATTGGGCAGAACTTGCAGATAGTTGCCTTCATTTGTGGTTTGTTTTCTTTCTCCCTCTTGTCTTTTTTTTTAGTATTAGGGATATGGCAGCAGTGGAGAAATGCAAAGTATAGCACAGGCAATAAAGACGGTCTGATACAGGAGGTGCAGAGTTCCCAGCATCCACTTGTGGGTCCTAATGCCTTTGACGTAATACAGTCCAAGAGACAGTTGCCTCTATGATCCATGAAAAAATGTGACCAGAGGATGCAGGTAGAAGAAAGGACCAGCTGGCAAAGGAAGAATACCATTGAGAAGTAGTCTTGCTAAGCTAGAAGATGAGGAGAAGGCACGCAGAATTGTGATAGCCATTGGCCAGGGAAAAGAGGAGGAAAGCCACTCCAAAGAAAGTAATATATAATGCAATTTGACAGAAACAAAAGAAAGCAGCATTCAAGAGGAAGGGAAAGTTGGTGTGAAATGAGAGAGAGCAAGGCGGGAGCAGCTCTGACACTGGGAAGAGGCATGTTCGTGTCCTCAGTAGAGGAAGAAGTAGGCATGTTACAAAAGAAAAGACAGAAAAGATTCACTGTGTGCTGGAAACAAAGAAGGTTTGGAATTGAGTGTGAAGAGGATCTAGATGGGAGTTATAAAAAGATGAATATATTTTTCTTCTGTTTGGAACAAATGATTCAGGATTGCTCTGCATGGAAAAGGAGGACGGTGTTGAACTGGAGAGGTTACTCATGGAAATGACAGCTCAGGCCATCAGGGGAACCTTTACATTCCCAGCTAAGAGGGAAGAAGTACTGATAAGATTTTCTTGATGACCATCAGGTGGCTCGGGGAATACAAGACCACGTTTAACTAGGGGTTTTCACGTCCAGAAAAATTCTCTCCATCGGTACAACCAGCCTTCTGGAGGTGAGGTTCAGGCAGCTAATAAAAATAGCTTTAAATAGGAAGCTGGGATGAGACGTGATAACCAGATTTCTTCATCAAATGACGAACAACTAACTGAAATTTAGTTTATCAAGTAGATGCTTTTAAAGGAGCTACTTGTAAATAGCAATCTTAGAGTGAGCAATTATGTGTTCGTTCAGTTCTTGTTGACAAAGGCAGGATTATAATACAGACTTTGAATTTTAATAAGACAGACCTCAAGAAAGAGAGGAAAATAATTAGTAAATTGACTGAACTGAAAGATCAAGGATGTGGGTGTGAAAGAAGGAAAGAATTACTTTAAGTCAAAAGTGAAAATATGGTCCAGCATTTGCATTCAAGGAAGCACTCCAAAACAACCAAGAAAATCTGCAGCCTGCCCTGAATAGCATCAGTCTCTCCAAGTGTAACAAGTAGTGTTTTTGTTAGCAAAGGCACACTGTCTTAGGCTTTTGGCCACTTGCTTTTTAATTGAGCTGGGCTATGCTTAGAAAATTTAAATAAATAGCAGATTATTTAACTATATGAAAAGAGAGAAAGGAGGGCAAGCAGGAGAAAGGCTGTAGTGAGTCTGATGGAGGTCTGTCTGGCCCACTGACTTTAATCTGACCGTGGCAGTACTGAGTGCGTCAGAGGAAAAGTGCATGAGAGTCTCTGTCCTCCCAGTGTCCGATAACCAGAAGTTTGGGGATTTCCAGAGCCAGAGTTTGCCTTAGGTCTGCCATGTTCAGCAGATACTTGTAAACACCTTCCACTGTTTGTCTAATCCTTTTGAGTCTTTTTATATTTTCGACCACTGGAACAATTTGTAGCAGACTTCTGCAATTTATGCACTACAGGAAAAGTAATTATGCTTCGGGTGTCTGATAATTTCATTGTTGCCTCCCAATCTGGAGAAGTAGCAGAAAAAGACTCAGAGTCACTGTCTTCACGCAGTGACAGTTGTGTCGATGTCTGTCAGATATCCTCTATCACCTTTTCTCCATGTTCCCCGTGTTGTCTTAATCTATTTAGTTTCTTCTTCCGTGGCAGTCACATCAGATCATCTTTGCCTCCCTTTGTAGCTCTCTAATTTTTCTTCATCCATTATAACATGGTGTGACTGAAACTATTTAAGTGTGGGGACATGAAGTACTTTATTTAAAAAAAAAGGCGTAACAGAGCAGGGAATAAAGATCCAAAGAGCAACTAGAACTAATAAAGTCAAGACAGTATGGGTCAAAATGCACTTATAATCTGTAATGCTTCTGACTACACAGGGAGTGAAATTCTGAAAGTTTTCAAACAAGTTAGTGAAAACAAGAAACTTAGGATTTTTTGTGCGTGAAGCTGGAGTAACTGCGAAACAGCCGTGGGGGTTTCTGGAGGTAGGTCACAAGGCTAAGGAGTCCCTCTGTACTGGTGTGTTGGTGTCTCTCAGTCGGCACAAACAAGGTGTTTATATCGGACAGGGCCAGGAGGCATATTTTTTTCCCTTTTTGAGGTATATCTTCATCTTGTTTTTTAGCTGCTTTTGAGATGTTCAAGGTGTTTTGGCCACAGATGATGACAGGACGGTAGGCTGGGGTGGAACAATTTATGTCTTATAATTGGGACTCTTAAGCAATAATGAATTCACCTTTTTAATGTTATTTTTTATTGTTATTCCTCCTTGCTGAGGCAGTCTGCCCTATTAGTAGTGCCATCCACCTGCAGTACAAGTAACACTTGAAATCCCAGAGCCTGGGCCAAAGCTGGGACCAGTGAGGACCACTTCCAGTGAAGCCAGTGACCTTGCATTTAGGGTGCCATGCTTAGGACAGCCACTGATGGCAGCAGACATAGTGTGCCTTCCGTGTGATTGTGAAAATCATGAGGCTTCCTTTTGTCTTGTTGTGTCTAATACTTCCCCAACTACAGCAGTATCGAGGAAGAACTGCAGAGTTTTTAGGTCCTTATTTTGGCAGCAAACCTTTATGATGGAAGACGGTTATTCCTCTGTTCGTGACGATGAAGGACCGAGACACAGATTTGGTGTGAGTCTGTCTGTATGGGCAGCTTAGAACAGTCAGCAGACCAGCCAGCACCTTGCACACCTACCATCCACAAGTAAATCACTCAAAGGCATCCTTAAGCCAAAATTGAACAGGAATAAAGTTGCACGGTGAAGAACGTAGACTAGAGCTTTGGTTGGGAACTCCTGGTAACTGAGGCAAAAGCAGTGAGCCCTGGCTTTGTGCTGGACACTTGGGTATTTATCTCAGCTCCATTTAGACATTTGCATCTTCCTCATAGTTGACCTATGCTCCCTTTCCAGTCCATAGAAATTGTCGCTTCTGAGACAAGATTAGTCTCATCCTAAAGTAAATATTTAAAGTAGGTCAGGTAAAACGTGCCTGGATAAAGCCCTTTTCATAGTGAGGTCCTAACCACAGTGTAGCCTTTGGTGCTGGACAACTGTATTTCTTGGTCTTGCTACAGCAGGCGTGGGGAGCTGCCTGGTTTTGCTCTCAGGGGAGGAGGAGGAAGAGGACCGCCATGTGCTGGGTGAGGTCTGTGGTTGTACTCTGCCACACTGAGCTGGGTATCACCTTGGGCCTCAGCTACCTGCATCCCACAGGGTGACATCCAGATCATGTTTTCAGCAGCCCACAATATCAGAGCCCTTTTAGCTGGCTCAGGGGACCCCTTTTGTTTCGAATGTGCCATGCATAGCAGCGCTTGCTCAACTAGCTACTGCAAATGGGTGTGCTAAAAATACCCCACCTTCTTCTCACTGGAAGGAGATGGATTTCAAACCAGGTTTTTCCCCTGCTTGTACGTAGTTAGCACAGAATCAGGACTTGCTCCACCTGGGTGCCACGCAGCTCTCTGTTGGCGATGCTCTATTGAGCAAGCTGGTTTGAAAACCAGCAAATAGGCAATTGTTTGCCCTAGCTGGGATCATGTATACCTTGCAAATGTTTCACTAGAACTCAGGGGAGCCAGAGATGGGTTTCAGGCACGATGCACATCACCTCTGAACCAGCAGCTGCTCCTTCCCTCCCTGTTGTGCAATCGGCATTTACCCTTGTCCCCTCGGTCAACAGCTCCACTTGTGCTTCTCCCTGCAGCCGTTCCCATAGTGGCTGTGTGCCAACAGCTTCCCTCTTCTGCACCCCCACCGCTGGCAAGCTCAGATGCTGTTCCCGGTGTGGTGCTGCTGAGTGAATGGAGAGAAGGACAGGGCAGTGGGTGGGATGGGCGAAGGGCAGGGGCTGCACTACCACGGGTTGGTGACAGAAGCCCCTGCCACGTCTTCACCAACTTTGTTGTCTGTAACAGGGCGCAGGAAGCAGTCAGTGTCCCTAGCAAAGGTGCAGTCCAGCACCCCAAACCTCATTTGGGTTTCTCCTGTATCGCTGCATTCCTTCCTCTTCACTTCAGGGATGTGCGACCTCACGTTTAGCAGCAGACTGAAACATATGCTTCTCAAGTGAGCCCAGCTTTGCAGACAGTCCATGTTGCACAGTAGAAACACTTTGTCCTTGTTATTTGCTCTCCAGAACTGTAGCTTTTTCTTCTAATTTTATCGCACATGCTGTCCTGCATATATCCCTGCTCTTGCCATTGCATTTTTAGCATATGGAGGGGAGAGATGGATCCTGAAAATGGCGCTGCCAAGCCCTGGAAACTGAAAGGAAAATTCCTGTGGCAAGATCTATTAAAATGCAGAGAATTTCTTTAAATTATGTGTGTGGGTTTCTGCCTTAAAGCTTACTTACTGCTGTCTTTTTATTTTATCTCTGTGTGTGTGTGTGTGAGTGTAGGATAAAGATTGAGGAGGAATATGCTAAGAACCTGTCCAAACTGTCTCAGAATTCCTTGGCTGCTCAGGAAGAAGGGTAAGTGTGTCTCGGTGACTTTTGCAGAAGACAAGAATTTTAACGTAAAAGGCATTCCTCCCACACAGGTACATGTATTTTTCCTGAGCTCTCCCATTGAGTAGAGATTTGTTTGGCTTGGCATCCTGTGTGTGTTGAGAAAGGTAGAATTGCTTTGGAATAGTTTTCTCTTGAAGATGTTCATGGTAAATTTTTAAGAATATCTGCATAAAACCTTGCATTTGCAATAATGTGTTTATGCTATCCTTGTTCTAGCCAGCACTAGTTCCTTTAAGGATTAGCATGTATAAGTACTAAATTACTTTGAATATGGAAGGAAATATGGAATATATGTACTGCTGATAGTAGATCTGTAAGGTCAGGCCAGTAGAATTGGAGCAGCACAGACAGAGGGAGAAGAAGTCTCTTCTCATCTTGGGTCTGGCCCTCACAGAAAAGCAGCAGATTGTTCCTTAGTTACAGCATGTTCACACTTTGGAAGTTATTAAGAAGGTATTAGGCAATGCACTTCAGACTGGATTGCAATTCTTCAGCAATAATGAAAAGACACCACTCCTGAAGGGTAAGAAGTTGGTAGCTTTGTCTGTTCCAACACAAACCCTCTAAGCACTGAAAGCCAAGGTTGGAAATGACTGTCCTCACCCTAGTTCTGACACAGTGTGTTTCTACTGGCAGTGAAGCTCCACAAGGTGTTTGCTCAGCTTCCAGTAGGCAAGGACAGAAATTGCAAGAGGGTAACTAGGCCTTCTCTGAGCACCTACAATGACGATGGGTTCTGTTCTTCTTTCCCATTAGGGGTGGCTGTTAACCTGCTCCTAGCAGAGCTAAAACCGCTTTCTTCCACACCCCTCCCACTTTCTCCTACCCCCAGTAGGAGAAGGGGGGAATGCCTGAAAAAACGAAGGGGAAGGAGACTAGGGGAGAGTAGATGAAAAGAGAGGGAATGAGGACCAAAGCATAACAAATGTTGAAGTAGGGAGCTGAAGGGGGGACAGAGCAGAGGGCAGAGAGCTAGGAACACTGCCTGGTGGTGCTCTGCCTGGAGAGGTGGCAAGATGAGGGAATGGAAGGTGCTGTGGTGGCCAAACTGGCTAGGACCAGGAAGAGACTAGTGAGAAGATCCTGGTTATTGGTGAGGCCCAGGAAAGGGAAAAATTCCATTTAAAAAAGTGAGGGAGGGATAGCAGCCAACAGGAGGATCTGAAGGAGCCAGAAGTGGGACTGCAGCCTAGCACACTCACAGTAAACATTCACCAGGATCTTCCTCTCATTTCTGAGAAGGTGTGAGTCAGGGGACCCCATGAACTGCTCTGTGCACACACCAGTTACCACTGCTGGTTTCGTATTCCACAGAACATTTTGAGCTTTGCTGTCCAGCGGTCTCTGGAATTGACACAAAGTATGGGCTGTCCCTCCAGGGTCCTTGCCCTCCTCTGGGGGTAAGAAGACCCACCATCATGTATGGGAGTGGGACATGAGGGTGATGAGATGGGACCGATTTGTGGTATCAGGATGGTTCTGTCCAAGTTTCTGTGAGTACAGTGCTGCTGCACGTACACAGAAGGTGATACAATCCATGGTCATTTAAGTCATTGTGGTTGGATAAGAGAGGCAGAAGATGCTTAGCAGGCTGAAATGCCTTTTTTACTTAAATAGATCAGATAAAATAGTACCAGTGAGAACTAGACAGTGGGAGGAGACCTCAGGGTGGGACTAGGGAAGGAGAAGAGTTGGGAGCACTTACGTAGGTGAAACAATCTCAGGTTGTTTAGCTGTGATGAACACCATACTTGAGGACTCAACTCATTGGAGCAACGTCAGAGTTTACAGATCATTATTTTGAAATTGCAGATGACAAGCAGTTTTTCAGGCTACCAGGAAGGGACAAATATGACTATCTTTGAAAAGGGGGTGAGGGAGAGAGAGAGAGAGAAGGATCCGGGAAATTGTAGATCAGTCAGCTTTATGTAACCTGTGCAAAGTGGTAGAATAAGGCATCAAGCTTTCTAGAAGCACTCAGCGGAAAGCTAAGGTGATGAGCAATTATTGAGGATGCATACAGAACAAACAATGTCAAACCAACCTAAATTCCTCCAGTGATGGAAGAACAGAAGAAGTCAGTATCGTAGCTCTTAATTTAGTATAGCTTTTTGCAATGGGAGATTCTTGCAGGCAGGTAAGAGAAATGTGGCCTAAATAAAGCCTAAGGTGCAAAACTAGGTAAGAAATCATACCCACTACTTAAAAAAAGTAAAGTGCAGAAAGTAGCTATGGAGTGAGATCCCATGAGGTTCGTCCCAAGTCCAGATTTTTTTCAATGTTTTTGTTAATAACTTATGATAGAATAAATAATGGATTTACTGTAATCAGAGATGAGACAAAGCTAGGAGGGATGGTGCATACAATTTGAAGAAAAGATTGCGCTTCAGAATTATTTTTTTAAACTAGAGAAGTGAACTGAAAAAAATTAAGATGCATTTCAATGAGGACAAAGTACCAGGTTTTATACTTTCACAGGATGTGAAAGATACAGTTACATAACGGTTTGTGGGAGAAGGATCTGGCTGTAGTGAATCACAAGCTTATTCATCAACAACTTCACGCTGTTGTCTAAAAAAGCAATCATCCTGAGATATGTAGAAGAAAGAGT